CGTATCCATTAGTCGCCTGGGCTGTTCTCCCAATGCCGTCGATGTGGCTGTTTCCGATGTTGCTGATATGGTTTTTGTCACGGCAACGGCAGCTGTTACCTCTGTTCTGCTAGTTGGTGGGTTTCCCGTCAGACTCTGGGTCAACTGGCCGGCACACGTCGACAATTGTGCCGCCTCTTGTCTCAACTGGACTAAATACTGTCCGAGTAGCCCTCGGATGTCAGCCGGCAATTGCTGCATAAAATGCACGTTACTGGCCAGACCCTCGTAGAGGCCTAGCAGCTGGACTGGATCGTTCCAGTCAATCAACTGCTCTGTCGGCAGAGACGGTTCGGAACGTTCAGAGCCCTGGAGCCCGATCGACTTTGACACCGACGGCATTTGTGCTGCCGGCTGTTGCGGTTGCAGCAAGAGATGCTGCAAATTCGACTGAAACAAAGTGTCTCCTGCGTCCGTCCCAGCGACGCCGGCGGCTGGCGCGGAGTTACTGAATCGGGCCATGGCGGCCGCCGCAACGGCCCCAGCGACCGCCGCCAATGTCGTCAACTGTTCCGGATCCATCATGGCAGGAGCATCCGCCCTGGCAGTAGTCGCCTCGATCGGCAGTTGTTGCAGTGGCCTACTCTGTTGCAATTGTTGTTGGTGTTGGTTCAGCAGCAATTCTTGCGTCAGAGCGTCGAGGAGGAGAGGATTGTTGAGCAGCAGCGCCGTTAGTTCGTCGACACTGCAGGCCGGCAAGAGGCCGCCGCCATCGCCTCCGCCAGGAGACGTCCATGCGACCTGTTGTTGTTGTTGCTGCTGCTGCTGTTGTTGTTGTTGTTGTGATTGCCTCTGCAGTATGAGCTGCGTTAGCTGTTGGGCCTGAAGGGGGGAGTATGGGTCTTGGAGTGGAAGGGGCAGCAAAGAGGATGCAGTGAGGCCGAGATGGCCGTCAGCACCGGTCAGCAGCTGGCTTGCCCGTAGCTGTTCAAGCTGTTGTTGTTGCTGTTGTTGTTGTTGGAGGTGGTGCTGCTGTAAAGGGAGCAAGGGAAGATGATCAACGAGTTGTAATTGTCCGGCTGTCTGCAGACCGAGGGGATGTCCGGAGGTGGGGCGAACCGAGGCCGTGGTGAAGATGGCCGGGGGCAGTCCGGCCACCGAAATTGGGGCCATCTCGAGGCCGCCGAGTGTGGTCAGAGGCTGGCTTATGGCAGAGCGGTTGGTGGAGCCGGTCGTCTCCATCAGACTTTTGAGCAGTCGCCGATGCTCTCGTTCGACACATCGACGCAGTTGACTGGCGACCAGATCGCGATCTGGCCGTCGTGAATGACTGCTGAGTCGATCGGCCAGACTCTGGCGTCTCTCACGGTTCGCCTCGCCCGGCAACACGGCCTCGTAGACGTCCAGGCCCGAGTCGAGGCGCCGCGACAACAACAACTCGGACTGCGTCAGGCCTCGGGCCGGCAGTGTCGCTCGGCCGGACTCGTCGCCGGCCGCGGAGGGCAGACGACCGTGGGTCGGACGTCTGCGGTTGCCAAGGCCGGCGGTAAGATGCTCCGTGGAGCGCGACAACATGCGCCTCTCCCGACTCGGCCGGTCCGAGTCGGCAAAGAGGCGAGCGTCGCGGGTGGCCGAGGCGATGGCTGATGCGGTGGCCACGGCCTCTTCAATCGGCAAATCGACCAGATGCGACCTCCGCGACGTGTCGAGCGGCGGACTCCAATCACCGCCGCCGGCGCTGTCCGACCAGGCCGAGCTATAGCGGCCCGACAGGTTGGCATCGAGCGTCTGGCTCGTCCAACTGCCGCGGCGCCTCGGTCGCTGCAGACTTCCGCCCAAAGGGTGGGCCCGGCCGGCGGCGTAGCGGAGAAGGCTGCGACTGCTGCTGGCCGGTTCGCCGGCGCACACGCCGGCGCCGGCTCGTCCGCTCGAGCCGGCCGAGTCGCCGCTTGTGTAGTCCTCCAGACTGAGGCGATCGAAAGGCAGACCGGCCGAGTGAGCGAGCGGCGCTTTCGGTCGGCGGATCGATGGCGAGACGTGGAGGCCGCCGAGCCGTCGAGGCCCAAGGCCTGCCGAGGCGGACATGAGTCCGGAGTGGTTCTGTCGAATGTTGGCCAGTTTCGTCTCGATATCGACCAGTTGCGAGCGTTCCAGCTGGCGAACTCGCTGCAGGCGGCGCTCGAGCTGGCGGATCTCGGCTAGCCGCCCGCCAGCGCCTGCTCCGGCTCGGAGGCAGGCGGCCTCGTCGTGCCCGTGGCCGGAGGGCGGCGAGGCCAGGGAGAACAGGGAGCCCCACTCTTCGGGCTCA